TTGGATTAAATTATAATTTTATTTTTTTAATATTCTTTCCTTACATTCCTTGTAACCTCTATAGGTTAACAAATTTCTTCTAATTCCTTGCCCCTTCTAGGCCAGGGCTTTCCGCTTTGATTTTGCGTTAATCTTGGCTTGCACCTGTTGCCTGGACGATGGTTGGTACTATCGTCTGCTCCTCCTTCTGGACCCTGGACCCCACACCTCTCTGCCCGTTAGAGCCACAAACCCCACTCCTTCCCTCGATGACGATGCCGTTGTTCAATTTTGCGTGCCGTTGCCGCCTCTGTTATTTTAACAATCTGCCATTTAAGCGTAAAAAATGTTGCCTCGTTTCGTGCCGCAGAGTTTTTCCTTTTGGTTTTTCTATTTTTTTTTTCTACAGCTCTAGCTGGGATTTAGTTTTTTTTCGGGCTATTTGATTTGGCAATCTTGGCCCGATGGCGCTGCGTTCTCCATTCTGCATTCTGCGTTGGCTTTTCGGTTTTGGTTTGGTTTTCTTTTATTTTGGGCGGCGGCATTGCGTTAGTTGAACCTTTTTCGGGCAAAACACATTTGGGACTTGGCCAAGAGGACTGGGTAAGGGGGACAGACAGGTTGGACGGCATCTAAGTGGATTAGTCAAGACTTTGATTGGGAAATTCTTTACGTCCGCGCTGGCTTGTCAAACGGATAAATAGGAAGTCATTTGGGCATTTAATTTACTTTCACTCCAGCTCAGAGCTAATTGGATTTCTTCCATATACATATTTTGTTGATTTATATTCTGTGTGTTCCTTAATTATTTGCGGAAGGCCATCCACATATGACGGCCCAGACATGATCTCCCATCCGTCACTCATGGCCAATGGCAAGGTAATCCAGGATGGCTGCTTCAATGTCGACCCAATCGCCGACTTGTCGAGCAAGTTAATTTTCTGTGCTTCACATTTTTTCCATGGCAGTGCCAATTTGTTTTTAAGCCGATGTAATAAATGAAGTCGGCTCGATGACTGGGATGGGATAATCCAATTGTTTCGCCAGTCTGCACAAAATTCGGAAATGTAAGAGACACTGTATTCAGAAATCTGTACTGAGAAACCAGTAAAGAGAACCAATAACCTTGGGAATAAAATTACATAAACAGGATTAAGCATCCAGGTTTACGGCAACTGTAGCTCCTGTTGCAGCAAACTACCTCCACCAGCAACATGAACAACCAGCAGCAACAAGAACTAACTGTGGCAATTGCGTAAATGATGTTCTAATACAACATCAATTACAATGGCAAGCGGCCCATGGCCAAAACAGTAATGATGTAGTCAGCCTCCGAGTTGCGTTTCAGCTCCGGTCTGATTTAGTCACCCGTATTCCTCACCTCACCTTACCTGCTGCCTGCCTGCTTGCCGCATTTTGTAGCAACTTCTGGCTTGTGTTGCTGTTGCTCCTCAATAAGCTTACGGCATTCACGCCTTGTTGTTGGGATCCTCATACCATTCTTAATGGTTGTTTTTCTTGTAATTGTTGTTGCATCAGTTGTTGTTGCCTCAGTTGTTGTTGCATAGCTGTTATCGTTGTCGCTGAACCGGCTGGCTGTCGGTTGGAGGCAGGAGGCTGCAGGAGTTGTCCCAGCTCGAGGATAAGACTGACTTATGGATGCTATAAGAGGTTATATAAAGAGATTATAGCCAGGAAAAGGTTAAACAATTATTCATTAAATATATAAAATGAATTTTACTAAGCTAGAAAATTAGAAAACAAAAGTATTACAACTAAGGAATGCAACACATTAAAAACATAACCTTTTTGCCAACAATTTAAGTTATATTGGAAAAAAACCATTAACTTTTTAAAAAATATATGGCTAGGGTATTTCCTAGCCTATATGAAAACCATTTTCCAAATTTCTTATTGGATCTGAGTAAAAATTTCATGCATGTTGCTGCCGTTGTTGTCGTTGCAGCAGCAACATCAACCGTTTTACGCATGCGTGTGCCTGGGCTACTGGGCCTGTTACCTGTTGCACCTGCTCTACCCCCTCCTAGACCCCTCCTTGCCCCCCTTCCGGCCATCAGCCCAACATCAGCTGACTGCGGCAGTGCTTCAATTTATGTTTTAATTGTGGAAATTATGTGACATGTGTTGTTGTTGCTTATGGGCGCTTAGGCGGTGCATCTGAGAGGATCGGGAAGACCGGAGAGCCGACGTCTGTCATAACTGGTAAAGTTGTAATTAAACTGGTGCTGGGGTCCCCCTCTGAGGCCTGCCATACCCCACCTTTCCTCGGTGAGTTTCCCTAGGCTGCGTTTGTTGCCGCCCATCAGAAGAAATTGGCTGCAATGGGGAGACAGTGTTTTGTGGGTTTTTCTCGGCCTGGTTGTAAACATTTTACGGTTGTTTATTACCTCCAATTGATGTATGGGTGGATGTATACTGTACAGGAGATAATACGATCCTACAAACGAGGGGAGGACGAAGAGAAGTCAATCGAGTGGGGCAATTGATTGATGGGGGGACCGCGTTGGGTGGGCTTTTCTGTTTCATTGTTGGAAATGGATATCAATCTAAGAATTAATACAAGTGATTTAAATGAAATTGAAAATAGGGGAGGAATATAGATATCAAGGAACTCTTAGAGGTATTATGTATTAGTATTACTACTAGTATTAGTATTTTTAATGAAAGATTTTGACTTACATCAATCTTTGGAGTTGTCAGACATAACACGCCATTAAATTGTTATGGTTATAAATTCTTTTCATTATTTTTTTTATAGTATTCTGTTTAAAACTACTCTAACTGCACTTTGATTGATTGATTGCCCCCAAGTTTGAGAAGTTGTTGACTTTACAGCGGACTTATGGCTGCGCTTGAGTCTTGAACCCCAATGAACCTAACACAAGCCAACCGCAAACACCTAATCCCCCCACCAGCACCACTAGTACCACCATCCACCCACCAGCGTCCACCTCTTCCACCTTGAGCCTCACCCACCGCATTACACGTAAGCTGAACTTTATGGAGTGTTTGGGAATCGGGGCTCGTTGCCTAACCATAACGGTAATAGTAGCTCATGGTAGCCCAACAACCGGATCGGTCCTAACTTTGGGTCACTCGACGCCTAGTCGTTCGGGATCTCTAATAATAAAAATCAAAATACCGTCACGTAAACCGATAACAAGGCACAAGGCACGGGATCAGGGGAGGAATCAAAGTTACAGCCAAAACGCAATTAAGACCGACATTTTTATGGTGTTCAAACTATAAAATTCATATAATTAAATTGCAGTTATAACTATAACAGCAGCAACAAAAGCCATAGTCAAGCCATAATACTGCCACAAAAGTTTAATGCGTTCAACTACAATATCTTTTCATAGTATGTCTATTAGTTTGATATATATACTTCCATTGTTTTGTTTAAAACGTATTAAGCTTTAAGATATTTTAAAATTTAGAATATATTTATACTTTTTCTCTGTGTAGTTATGGTACACCAAGACCTAGCGAAACTATCATAAAGCGTGGCTCAAATCTTCGCTGAGAGTAAGGCGAGTGAATAATTTTATAAATGGGTGCATAAAGTGAAAAGCGAAAACCAATGGAATTATGGTAAGAACAACAACAATAGCAACAACAACAAAATTCCTAACAACAATTACCAACGTTGAACGTTATTGAAAAATTCAAAGAAAAGCAAGAGCAAGATCATGATTATGATGAAACTTAATATGCTAAGCTAATAAATACAAAAAAAACTATTTAAAAATTTTTTTTAAAAATGTATAATTCTTTGAATAAAAATCGAATCATATTTTACTAGTTTATTTATTTAAAAACAATTTACCTCATCACTTATTATTTTTTTTTTTTATCGCCAACTACTGCGGTTGTGGGTATTGATGTTTCTGCAATTCTTGCTGTCGTATATGCAGCACCCGGAAATTAATCAAAGTAAGGGCATTCCACTTCAACACTTCAACTGGCTGCCATTAAATTGCATTGGCAGCAGCAGCCTCAGCAGAGCGGAAGCCAAAAGGCGAAAAGAGAGAAGCTGAAAAGCATTAAAGCCGGCAGTGCAAAAAAAAAGACGTAGCGCCAGCATGGGCTGCCCCAAAATTGGCCGCTATCTGTGCCTCCCGCTCCCATACACCTTTCAGTGCAGCAGGTGTTGAAAGCTCTCACGGTTTCTCTCTCTCTTGGCCAGCAAGCTTTTCTAACCGTTGTTTTGTTTTCATATTTGGCCCGCTCTTGTGCGGGTCTGGTGCCGGTTATTGTTGTTGCTGTTGCCGTCGAGTTGGTATTTTCATTGATGAAAATGCCGCGGCACGAGTGCGAGAGCGATTGAGAGATCGTGAGAGACAAGGCTTAAAGACAGTAGCTTCCAGAAATGTTGGCATAGCGTAAGGTAGTAGAAGAAATAGGAATAGAAATCATACATTACTCATACGCAGTGTTGGTTATGTTACAAAATTTTGCAAGTTTGTTACTCATACGCCATGTCGGTTTTTTGTTAAAATTTGCTAATCCATAAGTATTTATCTTTATTTTATGTTGGTAATTTATACAAAATTTTTTTCTTTGTAAGTTTTTGTGCTTATATGTGACATTCATCATACATAGTTATAGACGCATTTTCAACAAATTCCAGATACAACTTCCGTCCAGAAACTACCACAAAATCCTGTTAACATTCAAGTATCGAGAAAATGTCACCAAAACAATAACAACAACAGCTACACAACATTGCACAGATGTCAAGGTTTCTCAGCGGCTTTCGTTCCCGTTTCACCTCTGCACTGACTCTCCCTGTCTCTTTCTTTTTACCTGAGAAATTTCGCGAATACCTTTTGGCAAGACGATCAGCTGAGCGCTCTCGCGCTGGAACGTACGCTCTTAGCCAAACTCTCTCGCTCTGCCTCGCCGACGGCAGGTGCAGCGGCAACAAGTGCTATGGTAACGAAGTTGAGCTTTTCGGCTCACGCTCTTCGGGCCAACTGTTTCGTTGCTCGGAGTTGGCTGCTTTGGGCCCAGTTTGAAACAAACTTTCGTGCGAGACAGACGTGAGGGTTGGCGCTGCGAGTTTTTCACCTGCAACTGCAACTGCATCGGCATCGGCATCGGAAAGCAACTGTTAACTGCTTCTTTGGCGCGACTTTTTTGCAAAGTGAACGAGGCAAACGCAAAGCGAAATTAGATGTGAAACAAGTGAAAAGAAATTGAAAGAGCCAGATTGAGGAGTGTGTGTGTGCAGCAACAGTGGCAGCAGCGACAGCGGCAGCACTGTGTTAGCCAAGTGTAACGATACCCAATACCTGGGCTAAAACCCAAAACAAAAACAAAAACAAATAATACCGCCCAGTGGCCAGCAGCCAGCAGCCAGCCATGTCTACGAAACTGGAGCAGCAGCACTCGAAGCCCATACTGAGTCCAACTCGATCCCTGGACGAAGGTTTCGAAAGTGATCCGGATCGGGTTTCCACCGATTCGGAGCATCAGACCAGTACCAGTGCTAATACTACCAACAATAATAACACCACTAACAATAATAGCAACAACAACAATGCCAGCAAGTTGGCACAGCTCAGTTCGGCGGCCACAGGGGGCGCCTCCAAAACTGTTTCAGCCGCTGCAGCAGCCTCCACTAATGTCAGTTCTTTATCGGCGAGTGGCAACGGACTTGCAGGTGGCAGGGGTGCCCTTTCCTTGGCTGCCCCACAAATCCAGCGGAGGGAGTTCTTCAAGGATCAGCCGAAGCTGCGCCACCAGGCTCCGGCTCCGCAGCAGCCGCGCCTCCAGTACCAAAAACAACGGCAGCCCCTGGTCCCCAGTGCAGCGGCCAGTGTGCACAATCATCGACTAACCGCAGGGATCGTCGGTTCCGGATCCGGATCTGGAAACAGCCCCGGCAACACAGCCACCAACTATCGACGAGGACGTCGCCTCCACATAAACCCACATCACCCAACTCGCAATGGATTGCGTTCCCACTCCGTGGATGCCATATCCCGACACAATCGCCACGGCTATGATCCCAGCAGCCTGATCCTGAAGCACGATGGCAATGGTAATATTAGCAGCAGCAGTAGCGCAGCGGCCACCACCACCCGTATGTTGAATTATAAGACTACGGCCCAAGGGAATCCGGCTGGAACAGCAGCTGCCGGACCGGCTCTGCTCGTACAACCGATATCCAGCGCCACCTTGGCTCCGCTGGTGGCAGCCGGTGTGGTGGACGGTATGGAAGGAGGCAGCTCATCACCGGTGATCGCCTCGGCCACCCACAGTCTGTACACCTTTTATCCGGCGGAGGGCAATCTGCAGGTGTGGCAGACGGACAACGGCGACCTCACCTACAAGTCATCCAGGAATATGCATCAACTCCACAAGGCGCCCGTGTGCTGGACTCAGTCCATTCCCAGGCAGGCCAGAAGGTGAGTGAACTTACTAATTTTTCAAGGAATATTATAGAAGGATCTAGATCCTTGTTAAGTGTGAAGTAAAAAGTACATATGGAAGGAAGGCAAGGGAAATTCATATGTGTTTTTAGGAAATATATAATTTGTAGTATTTTTAAAAGGTTAATGATCTTCAAAATTAAAAAAAGTATGCCAATAGTTTAAAATAAATATTGGTTGCTTATTTTTTAAATGCCTAATGAACTCTTGAAAGCCTAAGCTTTTTAAATTCTGTTGAAGAAAATTTCCAAAAAAGAACTACCATTAAAGTATTATTTTTGACCGAACCAGCTACTCTCAAATCTAGAGCTCAATAAATCGTTCAAAATGTAAGCTAATTAGTTAATGGTTTAGTTTTATTTTTGGCCAAAAATGAAGTCAATAGCCATTTCATCTTTAGCGCTGGACCAGAGTGAAAGTCTTTTTAACAGCAGCAGCACCACCAGCCACAACAAGCGGGCCGAGTTCAGAGAAAAGAGCGGAAAAGAGAGAAAATGTAGGGGGAGATGATAGGCGGAGGAAAGGCGAAAGAGGGCTGCGGCGTCGGGCACATGTGTCATTTAGCCTGGCCGCGGGGCAAGTTGCAGTGTTGCAAGTTGCGCTGTGGCAATTAAAATGCCTACGGAAACTGCTTCGCATTGATTACCCTCGGTCCAGTCCCTTGGCAGACTCTTAAATTTGTCTTTACATAACTTAAACATTGCCCGGGGTTCGGCCCAAATGTGTGTGACCCCAAATTAAACGCAAATTGCACTCCCAATTTCAGGCACATAAAGTTTGCCAATTTCGCGCTTAACATTTTCAAAAGACATTTTAAGTTTTGGCCGAATTTGGGTTGGGTTTTGGGGTCTATTTTCGGGGCGGCGTCTGTTACAATTTTTGTCCGCGAAATGTGTTTGAAATATTTAATAGGTCTTGCAATCGTTTAAATTTTATGACTCTGCACTGTGAAGGGGCATGTCATTGCTATAAAATTAAATGAAATAATTGCATAAAAGTTATGCTTATTTAAATTGGAGTATTAATCAAGAAATAATCTCTTTTAGAATTATTTTGTTTTAAATGCCACAGTGTAAGACTTTAGATGTTTCCATTTTTTAACACCATATTCAGTAGCACAACAGAATCTGGTTTTTCCAACCTCCACATATTGGGAAGTATTAAATTTATTAAAAACAAATCTCCAAATTAGCTTTAATTATAGCTAATCAACTAATTTTATTTTTTTATAAATATTACTTCAAAACATACTATGTAGTTGAAATTATTATGCAAAATAGGAAATATTTCGAATTTTACTTTCAAATTTCGTGTAATGTTTAATCGGCTTTTGATGTAGAAATCTCGGTTTCAGTTTCATTTAGAGTTTGCATTGCATAAGCACACGCAAATATGTTTATTAAAAGCCTTTTACTTTGACTAAAAACCGCCCACATCGAAGCCGCACTCCCTGTCCCACTACTCCCTCCCCGTGCCATGCAAAATTGCAAACATTTCAATCAGTAGGAGCCAACATGCAAAGTGAATCAAAGCTGAAAGAAAAAGTGGCAACAGACTGCAGCAGAAACGTTGATAAGGCTCCCCCAAGCGGCATTCAACAGAAAAGTATAAACTCAATCAAAAGACTTAGGCAACGAACTTGATTAGTTCAACGCACTGGGGAGTTGTTTTCGATTGTTGGAATGCCTGTAAACGATGTGTTGTATTTCTTGTTGTAATTTGAGATGTTTTTCGAGTTTTCGCTATTACGATTGTTGACGTTTAGGGATCTTATGCCTCGATTGATATCGCATACGAAAATAAAACTCACAACTCTGTCGCAAATCAAATTGCATGATGCGCAAATATTTTCGCTTACACAGACACTTTAACACCACACTGACACCAACAGCAACAATAAAAGTAAAAGTTTTTTATTTCGTCTTGCAGATTTATTTACATAGTTTTTGGGTAAATTTTTTCACCTCTCCGATGTTTTTTTTCACTTTTTTACAATGTGTCATACTTTTGCACACTTTTGCTTTTCATGAGACATTAGATGGTGATGTTTTTTCTCCCCCTTTTTTTTTGTGGATGCTGTGTTGGGATGGACAAGGTGTAGGTGTCCACGATGTGAGCATTTGAAAGTGTTTTTTATGTATATGAAGTGTGTGTTTTTTTCCAACTATTCGCCAAGATGTGGCTGGAATGATGATTTTGTAGGTTTTGGCGTGCGAAAGTTTTTTTTGGCAATAAACATGGTAGACTGTTTTTGTTGTATTTCTGTCCTATAGTGCCACACTTCCGCTTTATGCATATTATGGGAAATTGCCAAAATGTATTTGCATTTAATTTAAAATTTGCCACTTAGATAAACAAATTGTTTTTTGTCATTTATGGGGGAAGGTTTTTATGTAGGGATAGAAAATATTTTGACTTTTCTGCATAATTTTAAAGTTCATTTCACACCTGCTCGTATGGTTTCAAGTGTAAAGAGTTCATCAACTTGAAGGCCAGCCCTCGCCAAGGCTGCAAATTGTGGGGCAACTATCAATGACGCCATTAAGGAGCCCATAAATTTGTCGCTAAATTGCCCATATCTGCCACTTGTGCGATTCAATTCGACAAACAAATGCCGCTAATTGCCTGCACATCAGCCAATCGGGATAGATTCAACCAATAATTGCCGACTATTTGCCATGCCGGAGGTGAGGGCTAAAGTTTCCTCCTGATTGCTGTTTGCCAATCAATTTGCCGCTCAACCTGTTGGGTCTTCAGCTAGATGATAAACTTGTTGCTCGGCATTCACTTTGATTGCTCATCATTGAGCTCATCATCAGCGCCAAAATCATCGGCAAATATGGTGCCTAATTAAAAGAAATAAAAGCTCAAATAGAACTGACGGCGATCTTCCGTATTTGACTTGTGAGCTGCTGAGTTGCTTCTCCTTCTGGCTTGGTGATTTTTCTGATTTTTTGGCAAAGTAAACACGAGTGTTCGCTCAAAATAGGTCTGTCAATATTTGTGGCATACACATACGAGATCTTTTGTGAGATGTGGGGCTAAAAATAGATCAAGTGTTGGAGGAAGCGGCTCGAGAGCCGGATAAACGGTTTTTATTTTAATTTTTACATAATGCTCACTTGGGGATCCAACGTTCAAATGCTAAATTGTTGTGTTGACTTTTAGCCAACTGCTGTCAACCCAACACAAATGACTTGGACAACGAACTCGCCGTTTATGCAACTCAACTCGCTTAGGACTCGCACAAAGTGATTCATTTTCTTGACTTAAATCTTCAAAATGTTTCAAGCATTTTCAATGTCAAATCCATTGGGTAATTGCTTTTTTAAATACACATTTTTTTCGGCCTGGCACCCACACTTGACGGCGCTGAAACACTTTCAGTTTCGACGCTTTGACGTCTGTTTTAGCACCATTTTTGGTCTAGTCATCAAGACAAAAGAACTATTAAATGGAGATCACAATTCTGTGGAAACTGTAGCTCGAGTGCCCTCACCCCGCATTGCCCATAATTGAATTGTCAATGACATCAGACATCAGAGCTGGGCTGAAACTAAAAAATGAAATTAAAGCAGCCGGAAATGCAGTGCACAAAAAACTTCCCAGGCCTCGATAGGGTTTCCCGTTCAACTGTTGTTACATTTTTCCCTTTTTTTTCAACTCTGACCATTTAGCATTTGCCACTTTTGTAATTATGCGAAAATGAAAACAATACGGGTGAGTCAGCGTCAGTTGTCGACACCTGCGACCGCTTTGGGTCACGGGCCAACAATGTGAACTCACATGTGAAGAGAGTCTCGGGTCGGCTGTCGGGTTGGGCTTAGTTCGCCGGGTCGGTAGCGGACCAAATTGTAAAATGCAATAAAATTTTTGTGCTTTATGGCAGTGGCTTTTGTTCGAGTGCGAGTCATGGTAATTATCTCTGGCATATGGACAAATGAATTTTCCAGCGTCCATATGCGGGGTGGTATGCAAAATAAAATAATTTCAGTTTGTCAATTTTTTGCGGACGGGTAACACCGGGGGTTGCTTCATAGCTATGGCAGTTTGAGTTAGCCTTCCACCCCTATTACTAGACTTGCCACAGAAATTCCATTAGATGTATAACATAAATAAGAAAATGCTTTTAATTTACTTCCTATTTGTATCATGTTGAAAACTAATTAATATAGCTACCAAAATAAATTTAAAGAATGATGCTCTCGAGATACACCAAGTCACAGTCATGGTAACTGAAGCGGCTGGGCCGAGAAAACCGCAGAAACCTCACTTTTAATTTGAAAAGCAAAGTGCAATTTAAGCTTGGTGAGCCATTTTGATGAACCGCTTAGATGTTGGGCTCGAAGAAAAGGCAGGCTGTGGCGGGAACTGGGCAAATAAATACAATTTTAACACCTTTTGCTCCACATTCCTTTTGGCCAGTTCCGTTAGCCGTGAACGATGGCCCGGTTCGGGCATCAATTGTTATTATTATTAATTAGAAAAAATATTTCGCTGCCAAGGCAACAACAGCAATAGCTACGTATCCGAAACCGAATCCCAGGTTGGAGCAGACCAGACCAGAACCCACGTCCAGAGCCCAGCCCAAGTCCGGGCATCGCCTGACTGGAATTATCAGAGCGGAGGCATCAAAATATTGGGAGCTGCTAGTTGCAGTTCGGTGGAGAGTTATTTGGTCCAGAGTTTTGATTGGAACTCCTTGTGGCCGTGACATGCGAGCTCCGTGGCCGCTTCGTGTCAGCAAATTAGAGAAATATTTTGTTTGCTCAGTAATTGGCAATTGATCCAGAGATCCCCCGGTTCGAAGCCCGAAAAGAAAACCAGAAACGAAGCTTTACAAATTGCCGTGAAGCTCGTGGAACTCGTCGAGCACACGCCCCAAAAACCGGCGTATATGAAATCAATAAACGTCTCATAAATAATGCCCATCGATTCCGGTTTCTTGCTTGCGGCATATACAGACAGATTCTCTT